TGAGTCAGGTAACAGGTAAGTGCCTTCAGCTCAGGTCACGATCTCTGGGTCCTGGGATACAGCCTCATTTTGGGCTCCCTGCTCAGCAGGAAGTCTGCTTCTCCTGCTCTCTAACAAATAAATAAAATCTTTTTAAAAAAATTTAAAAAAAATCATCATTCTGATTCTCTAATAGAAATCATAATTAAGAAGTACCCAGGAACATCTGAAAATGTTAAAAAAAAATCAACCCTCAGTTACATGCAGCTTCATATTTGTGCTAATGTAACATTAAAAAAAATGCTTTTGATAGAATTCTTACCGTGCTTGATCATTATCAGGTCTTTCAAAAGATCCAGGATTACTGGATGCCTTTTCTTTAAAGAAGTGAAAAATATTGACATCGCTGTTTGTAGGTGAGTATCTTTCTTCATTTTCATCTACTCCTGATCTTCTGGGCTTTGAAAGCATTTCTGCTGAGTGACATCGTTCCATTGTGTATGTTTTTGCTCGAGACTGACCATTAGAAGTGTCAGATCTATCAGAGGAATGGGCTCTACGAAGGTATCTAGAATGTGGCCTTTCTTCTGCATCCTGGATCACTCTTCCCCTTCCCCTATTACTGGTCTCTTTTTCTTGATTTCCCCACTGAGTATAAAGACTGCTTCCATCTCCTGAAGAAGAAAAATCACTTGAATTTTTATTCTTTGGAAATACAGTCACTTTATTTGGGAGTGGTTGACCAATCAAGAGTCTTCTTCTGTCAAATAAACTACCACTTATACTGGTACTGGAAGAAGCTGTAATTGCAGTAGAAATTGTGGCATGTCCACTATCAATTGAGTCTTCTACAGTCCCTAAATCTTTACTTTTTGTTGAGGAATTTCGGGACATAAAAGGATGGTCTAATACTGAAGACAGACTTAAACGATCTGCTGGATTTCTACGAAGTAACTGGTGAATAAGGTCCTTGGCCTCTCTTGTCAAAAAAGCTGGCATTTCATAATCTGCCAATACTACTTTATTTAATGTGTTCTTGACTGTGTCAGTGTCAAAAGGTGGTCTCCCAATAAGCAACGTGTAAAACATACAGCCCAAGGACCAAACATCAGATTCAAGTCCATGTGCACTTCGAGTTGCAATTTCTGGTGAAATATAATTAGGAGTTCCACATAACGTATAGTGCTTTTCATGTGGCATTTTCAATTGAGTTGCCAGCCCAAAATCAGCAATCTTGATGTTCATATTACGTGTAAGTAAGAGATTAGAAAGTGTGAGATCCCGGTGTAATATACCATGAGAATGGAGATACAACATTCCTGTGATGATCTGGTGCATAAAGTGTCGAGCTGTTGGAATGCAAAAAATAAAATTTACAATTTAGAAAATATGAAAGATTAAGTATTTATTTAGAATCTTAGAATTCAGTTTTTAGAAACCCAAGTACATGTACCACAGTATTACATTAAAACACCAGCTTGGAGTATCTTTTCATATATGTTTTTGGCCATTTGTACCCTTTTCTGTGAAGCAGGGTTATATTCCCTGCCCATTTTTCTATTGGATTACCCTTTTTGAAAGGCATCTTTTATATTTTTTATTAACATTAATTTAATATTAATTTGCCAGTCACATATTTTACAAATATTTATTTCCCATCTTGTGTTAAATTTGACTTAATCTTTTGTCATACATATTCTTAATTTTAATTAAGTCAAATTGATGATTCTTTTCCTTTATGGCTTTTGTAGGTTCTGGCTTATTTAAGAAGGCTTACTGTTACACATTATTACAAAAAAATGCAATAATCATCATTAATCTGTTTACGGATATTCTTCAACTTGTATTACTACCTTATTTTGAGTCAAAATATATGAATATTTGCATAATTTAATACAAATGACCAAATTGTATTTCAAATGGGTTATATAGACTTAAATGTACAAAAAAATCTAATAGCAACCACATTTATTAGTTGTACCTGCAATCTCAGTTACCAGGGTAAGATAACTAGAAAACAATCATTTGTGTGATGACTCATGGACTTATTTGATACTGATCTGAACTACAAGAAGTTATTTATAAGAAACAAGGGAAGTTGAAACTGACTATACATTTGGTACTAAGGAATTACCAGGTGTGATGATGACTTTGTGGTTATTATTATTTTTTTAAAGTTTGTATTTTTTAAAGATATATACCAAAATATTTATAGGCACAAAGATGTCTACAATCAGCTTCAAAATATTCTGGAAAATTGGGAGAATAGGAAGCGTACAGATGAAACAATTTGAACATGTTTTGGAAGCTGAGGGTTCATTATACTAGTTTCTCTACTTGTATGTTTGACATTTTCTACAATAACTGATTTCAATAGTTATTTGTGTTTGACTTAGGAACTACTTTATAGACATCAAAAACATTCTAAAAAGTTTATCTCTGGATCTGAAAGGATAGACACTAAATAGCTACCAATGATTTAATTAATTTAAAATGTGGTTTTGGGGAAAGATGGATAACAAATTTCTCCTTTCACTTCTTCTTCAAGTAATGCTTGAATTACTTGTAGGAATTAACAGCTTTTTAATTTTGAGAGTGGGGGGAAGTCTCCTTTCGTATCCTAAAGTAATAATGTAAATGGTTTTATTAAGTATTACAAAATAGCACATTCTTCAAAAATTAGTTTTTAAAGTATAAAATTCATATATACAAAAAGAAAAAAAGCAGCCACCTACCTTCGTTTTCTGAGAATGGTTTCATTCTGTTCTTTAGATATCTATTCATTTCTCCATTATGGCACATTTCTAATACTAGATATACATAATTGTTATCTTCAAAATAGTTATAGAGCTGAAATATAAAAGGGCATAATAAATGGTAATATACAAAAATTCTGTGTCCTTTGTCACTTCTATAAAATTTGTATTACCTCCAAGATAGAAGGATGTTTCAACTGGCAATGTATTTTCACCTCATTTTGGACTCTCTGTACCATTCCAGCTTTGTACATGGCTTTCTTATCTATCTAAAAATAACATGAGACATTTAAATTTTGGTGATAAACTTCCAAATGTGAAGTTTTCAAAAGTTAACTTTGAAGAGAAAGTATACTTTAAAATATTCTTAAGTCCTTTTATTTATACCTCTTTATGAGATCAATTTATTCTGGTGTTTGTTCTCCCCATGCACCCAACAGAGTGGCAGAGTAGACATTCAGTAAAAGTTTATCCATTGCATTCTAATACTCTCTTCCAACTTAAAAAGTTTAATAGCACAACTATCATATCTATAACAACAACAAAAATCTAGCCAAGCTTTATTTTTTTGTTTCACCCTGTTCCTCTTTTTCTTCCAGACAAACTTTAAAATAAAACTTCCCTTTCCAAAAAAAAAAAAAAAAAAAAAAAAAAAAAAAAAACAAACAAACAAAAAAAACCCAAAACCAAAAAACTTCCCTTCCCTACTGGTTTAGATAAGTGATTCTTAATTTGCTTATGATACTCCTATTAGACTGATCCATAACAATCACAAATAGTATTTTAGGTTGTTAAAGTGTAATACAGAGCTATGTACAAGTAGCACTCATTATTATAAACAAATTGTTTATTCTTTGATTTCTATCAATTGCTATAAGTTTGCATAATAACAAGTCCTAGGTCTAGTGAACATTAATGAAAATAAAACATTTAAGCATACTTAAGGATCTCCTAAGGCATGTATAAGGTCAGTTGCTGGACTTGGCATTAGTCTTCTTGTGTACAAGCAATGGATTCTTTCTACTTTAAATAAAAAAAAAAAAGGAGGGGCTCGCAGGTAAGGAGTTTCTGACATCTTAAGTCACCTCTCTAACTCCTTGCAAAGTAGAGGTGAGAAGTCGATGGAGATTTTCTTACCATTTTGATTGCAACTTCCAAACCAGTGTGAATGGACTCAGCTCTGTAGACACCAGCAAATGATCCTTTACCAAGCAGATTTCCAACTTTAAAATCCTTAAAAGTTAAAATTAAAGATATTGTGTGATGACTCACAGGAGAAAAAATTAAAAGAGAAGACAGGAAGAGATCGGAAAAAAGATGATAAAAATGGACAGAAAGGGGAATATGAATTCAGAATTCAAGCAGGTGTTACACCTCGATACAGCAGGTGTCTGGAGTGGAAAGCATGTTGACGCCTTGCAGGGATCCCTGAAAGTCCGGGCTGGGCTTCAGACGCAGGACCCAAATGAACTGCTTCCTTAACCCCAGTGCAGCTCCAGCACCTTGCTCCCAGCCCCAGCCAACCCACGGGGGCAGAGGGCTGGGCTGGAATCCCGCCGCAGCTCCCGCCGGAGGTAACTGCCATCCCCTGGGAGAAGGGGGACGCACATTCGCCCAGCTGTAGCGCGGCAGCCCCCGCGGGAGGGCCAACTTCAGGACTTGAGAGGAGACGGGCGGGGCCGAGAGCAACTCACCTGTTCCCCCGACACCCCAGCCTGAGGGGCGGGGCGCCCCGCCCCACACAGCCGGGAGGGCGGTTGGGGCTCTCCCAAAGCACCCCGGCGCCCGCCCCGCAGCCGTTAGAGTCACCGGTTCGAGTCCTGCCACTCCAACTCCCTCCCTGCCCCCCTCCATCCCCCGGCCCCGCAGAGGATTGCCAAGTCTTTTCACCTCGATCTTCTCCCCGATGCAGGTCGCCATATTTCCAGGCCCCGGCCTGTGCTCCCCAGAGGAGCTCCCTTCACGCAGTCCCTTCGAGGCAGCGCTCCAAGCAGCCAGCCGGTCTTGGCGCCCATCAGGCTTGGCTCTCTAGGCCGCCGCTCCCGGCGACGGCTGCACAGCCACCGAAAGGCCTCCCCGGCACCTTCCGAGACCTGGGCGGCGCCTCTGCGCTCCCATTTTGAAAAACTCCCGCCGGTTGCCGTGCGGGGCAGGCCGTCGGTGACGTAAAGAAATTGGCCGCTCCGGATAGGCTGCGCTGGGCGCGCATGCGTGGCAGGCTCTCCTTGGCCGAGCGCCCGCGTCCAGGCTCTAGGGGCGGAGAACCGGAAGTGCTCGTCGCACCCCGCGGCGCCGCTGGGGCGTGTCGGCCGGCGGGCTTCCAGGAGGCCCAGTCCGCCGTGTTTAGAAGCTGGTCTGGAAGGTGAGACTTCACCGGTAGGGTACTCACGTGACGGCCTTGAAAACTACTTCCGTTTCTTTCAAGGGTTTAAAGTGATTTTAAGTTTTTAAAAAAGATTTAGTGTGGGCAGCCCGGGCCGGGTGGCTCAGTGGTTTAGCGCCGGCGGCCCCGGGCGTGACTCTGGAGACCCGGGATCGAGTCCCGCGTCGGGCTCCCGGTGCATGGAGCCTGCTTCTCCCTCTGCCAGTGTCTCTGCCTCTCGCCTCTCTCTCTGTCTCCTGTGTCTCTCATGAATAAATAAATAAAATTTAAAAAAAATTTAATGTATTTATTCATGAGAGAGGCAGCAGCAGGGAGAGGGAGAGGCAGGCTCCCCGCGGGCAGCCCAATGCGGGACTCGATCCCCGGCCCCGGGAGGACTCCGGGAAGCCCAAGGCCGGCGCTCAACAACTGAGCCACCCAGGTGCCCCCGCGGTTAAGATGGCTTTAAAAATTTAGACGTTTTGACAGAACAAAGGGGGGGGGGAAATCACTACCTGTCTTTAAAAAAAATTATATATATATATATATTAGGTTTTTAATGTATTTATTCATGAGAGACCCAGAGAGAGAGGGAGAAGCAGGCTCCCTGCCGGAGTCGGATGTGGACTCGAACCCAGGGTCCTGGATCATGACCCAAGCCAAAGGCAGACGCTCAACTACTGAGCCGCCCCCAGTCGTCCCTCATTACCGTCTTTTTTTTTTTTTTTTTTTTTTTTTTTTTTTTAAGGATTTATTTATTAGAGAGGCAGAGGGAGAAGCAGCCTGCGGGACTCGATCTCGGGTCTCCAGGATCGCGCTCTGGGCCAAAGGCAGGCGCCAAACCGCTGAGCCACCGAGGGATCCCCGTCATTACCGTCTTAAACACCCTTTACACTTGTGCATTTACTCCTTAGATTTTAATAACGTACGTACGTAACGAGTGTGTTTGGTGCTTTAAGAAATTGAACTCTGTTCTTTATTTTGGTAAATTGCTGTTACTTGAGTCATTTGTATTAGCAACTTACATTTAAGAGATCTAACACACTATAGGGTTGGAATAATCCATTTTTCGCAGATGGGAAGATGGTGATACTGCTTAAGGATTTATAACAAACTACACCACAAACTTAGATCTTTTTTTAAAGACTTCTTTATTTGAGACGCAGTGGGGTGCAGAGGGAGAGAGAGGGACTTTCAAGCAGACTCCCCACTGAGTGGGGAGCCACAGGTGGGCTCCATCTCAGGACCCTGAGATCATGACCTGAGCTGAAATTAAGAGTTGGATGCTTAACCAAATGAGCTGCCCAGATCTTCTGTTTCTAAATAGGAAGCTTTTTTCTTCTACCTTAATGGGTATATTAAGTTTACTTAAGTTGGTGTACCTGCAAGCTTGTAAGAGACTTGAGAGAAAAGTCAAATTTTCCCCTTCATTTGTAGAAATCTTACCTTAAAGATTATATGTTATAATGCTTGAGCAGTTGTTTCCAGAGTCCAGTATTTCAATTAGACTTGCTTTTGCTGTTAAATTTTCAGGAATTCATATAATTCACTATCAATGTGGGTTTTTTTGGGGGATATCCTTTGTTCCATTAATATCAAGTATTATACTGAATTGTTAAAAAACACAATTTTTCTTCTTTTGTTGTTTATTTTAATTCCAGTACAGTTAACATACAGTGTTAAATTATTTTCACTTATCATAATTTCATTTAAATTATTTTCAGGTGTACAATATAGTGATTCAGCAGTTCCATACATCACCCAGTGCTCAACACAACATCGCCTACTTTACCAATAATCCTCACCCTCCTCCCTTCTGGTAACTATCAGTTTATTCTCTATAGTTAAGAGTCTGTCTCTTGGTTTGCCTTTCTCTTTTTTCCTGTTGATCATGTTTTGTTTGTTAAGCTCCACATGTAAGTGAAATCATATGATATGTCTTTCTCTAACTTATTTCACTTAGCATTATACTCTCTAGCTCCATCATGTTGCAAATGGCAAGATTTCACTCTTTTTATGACTGAATAATATACTCCATTGTGTATAATAACCACTGCCGCTTTATCCCTTCATCAATTAAAGGACACCAGTACTGCTTCCATAATTTGGCTATTGTATATAATGCTGCTATAAAATCGAGGTGCATATACCCCTGGTATTTATAGCAGCAATAGTATTTTTGTATTTTTTTGGGGGGGGGGTAAATACCCAGTAATGCTATTACTAGATCATACCATAGCTCTATTTTTAACTTTTTTTAAAAAAAAAATATTTATTTATTCATGAGAGACACAGAGAGAGCGAGGCAGAGGGAGAAGCAGGCTCCATGCAGGGAGTCCGATGTGGGACTGGACCCTGGGACTCTAGGATCACGCTCTGGGCAGAAGGCAGGCACCCCAACCACTGAGCCACCCAGATATCCTTATTTTTAACTTCTTAAGGAACCTCCATACAGTTCTCCAGAGTGGCTGTGCAAGTTTGCATTCCAACCAACAGTTCAAGGGGTTTCCTTTTTTCTCCACATCCTTGCCAACACATTGTTTCTTGTATTGTTGATTTTATCCATTCTGACAGGTGTGAGGTGATATCTCATTGTAGTTTTGATTTGTATTTCCCTTGACGATAAGTGATGATGAACATCTTTTCATGTGTCTGTTGGCCATTTGTATGTGTTCTTTGGAGAAATGTCTGTTCATGTCTCTGCCCATTTTTTAATTGGATTATTCATTTTTGGGGTGTTGAGATTTATCAGTTCTTTATGTATTTTGGATACTAAGTCTTTATCAGGTATGTCAGTTGCAAATATCTTCTGTTCTGTAGATTTTCTTCTATTTTTGTTGATTGTTTCCTTTGCTGAACAGAAGCTTTTTCTTTTGATGTAGTCCCAGTAGTTTATTTTTGCTTTTGTTTTCCTTGCCTCAGGAAACATATCTAGAAAAATGTTGCTACAGTCAATATAAGAGACATTACTGCCTATGTTCTCTTCTAGGATTTTTATGGTTTCAGGTCCCACATTTAGTTCTTTAATCCATTTTGAGTTTATTTTTGTGAATGGTATTAGAAAGTGGTCTGGTTTTATTCTTGTGCGTATAGCTGACTAGTTTAACATCATTTATTGGAAAGACTGTCTTTTTCTCATTGGATATTCTTTGCTACTATGTTGAAGATTAGTTGACCATATAATTGGGCTCATTTCTGGGTTTTCTATTCTATTCTTTTGGTTTATGTATCTTTTTGTGTCAGAATGGTACTGCTTTGATTACTGCAGCTTTGTAATACATCTTGAAGCCTGAAATTGTGATGCCTCCAGGTTTGCTTTTCTTTTTCAAGGTTGGTTTGGCTATTTGGGATGTTTTGTGGTTCCACACAAATTTCATGATAGTTTGTTCTAGGTGTGTGAAAAATGCTGTTGGTATTTTTATGGGAACTGGATTAAATGTGTAGATTGTTTTGAATAATATAGGCATTTTAACAATATTCTTTCAATTCATGAGTATGGAATGCCTTTCCTTTTCTTTGTGTCAGAGACAATTTTTCCAGAGTGGTTTTAGGTTCAAAGCAAAATTAAGTGGAAGGTACAGAGATTTCCCATATACTCTCTACTCCTCCTCATGCATACTTTTTCCTTTTATCAATATCACTCACCAGAATGGTACATCCTTAACAAGTGTGAACCTACATGGACCCATCATAATTACCCAGAGTCCATAGTTTATCTCAGGTTCACTATTGGTATTGTATGTTCTGTAGATTTGGACAAACGTATGAAGACATATATGTCATTACAATTTCAGAATATTTTCACTGCCCTAAAAGTTCTCTGTGCTTCTTGAAAGTTCTCTGTGCTTCTTCTATTCACTGCACCCTCCCACCCATTAGCAACCACTGATCTTTTATTGTCTTCATAGTTTGAATTTCTAAAATGTTGAATAATTGGAATTATACAATTTTCATATTGGCTTCTTTCACTTAGTAATATGCATTTAAGTTTCCTCCCATGTCTTTTCATGACTTGATAGCCCACTTCTTTTTTAGCACTGAATAATATTTCATTGTCTGGATATATTACAATTTATTTAGCCATTCACCTATTGAAGGACATCTTAGTTGCTTTCAATTTTTGGTAATTATGAATAAAGCTGCTATAAATATCCACTTCCAGGATTGTCTGTGAACATAAGCTTTTAATTCCTTTGGGTAATTACAAAAAAGCACATTTTCTGGACTGAATGCTAAGGTATGCTTAATTCTATAAGAAACTGCCAAACTGTCTTCGAAATGATTGTACCATTTTACATTCTCATCTTCAGTGAATGAGTGTTCCTATTTCCATATCCTAACCAACATTTGGTGTCAGTGTTGTAGAGTTTAGCCATTCTATTAGGTGTATGGTGTTATCTTGTTTTAATTTTCATTTTCTTGAAGACATATGATATAGGATATCTTTTTATATGCTTATTTGCCATCTGTATATCTTCTTTGGAGAGGTGTCTGTTGAGGTGTTTGGCCATTTTTTAATCAAGTTATTTCTTATTGTTAAGTTTTAAGAGTTCTTTGTATTTTGGATAGCAGTCTTTTAACAATGTTTCTTTTGCAGCATTTTCTCCTAATATGTGACTTCTCATTCTCTTGAAATTTTCTTTTACAGAGGAGGTTTTTTTACTTTAGTGAAGTCCAGTTTATCTATTTCTTAATGGATTATGCCTTTGGTGTTGTATCTAAAGAGTGATCACCATACTCAAGGTGATCTAAGCTCTCTCTTATGTTATCTGCTAGTTCTATAGTTTGTTTTTATTTTTATGTTTATGATCCATTTTAAGTTAATTTTTGTGAAGATCATAAAGTCTAGATTCTTTTTTTTTTTTTTTTGCACTTGGATATCTAGCTGTTCTAGCACTATTTGTTGAAAAGACTTACTTTCTTTTGTATGGCCTTTGCTCCTTTGTCAACAATCAGTTGACTATATTTAGGTGGGTCTATTTCTGGGCTCTATGTTCTTTTCCATTGATCTGCTTGTGTGTTCTTTCAAAAACAGCACATTGTCTTGATTACATTAGCTTCATAGTAACTCTTGATATCAGGCAGTATCTAACTTCCAACTTTGTTTTTCTCTTTCAGTATTGTGTTGGCTATTCTGGGTTTTTTGCCTCTCCATATAAATTTTAGAATTTTTGGTTTTAAATTTTATTCATTTTTAATTTAGTATAAATTATTAATTTAGTATAATTAACACAACATTAGTGTGTTAATATCAGGTATGTAACATAGTGATTCAACAACTCTATACATTGTGCCGTGTTCACCAGAAGTGTAGTTGCTGTCTGCCACCATACAATGCTATTATATTATTGACATATTCCCTATGCTATACCTACCTTTTATTCCATGACTTATTAAGCTCATATTTGGAAACCCTGTATCTTCTATTCCCCTTTACCATTTTGCACATCTCCCAGCCTTCTCCCCGCTAGCAACCATCAATTTGTTCTCTGTATGTCTGATTCTGCTTTTGGTTTGTTTATTCATTTTGGTCTTTCGATCCCACATTTAAATGAAATTGTGTGCTATTTGTCTTTGTCTGATTTCACTTAGCATAATAACTTTCCATGTTATTGCAAATGACAAGATCTCATCCTTTTTTATTGTGTGTGTGTGTGTGTGTGTATTCTTTATCCATCTGTTGATGGACACTGGGTTCCTTTCATATCTTGACTATTGTAAATAATGCTGCAGTAAACATAGAGGTACATATATCTTTTCAAAGTAGTGTTTTGTTTTTCTTTAGATAAATACACAGTGGTGGGATTAGTGGATTATATACTATTTCTTTTCTTTTTTTTAAGATTTATTTATTTTTTTTTTTAAATTTTTATTTATTTATGATAGTCACAGAGAGAGAAAGAGAGAGAGGCAGAGACACAGGCAGAGGGAGAAGCAGGCTCCATGCACCGGGAGCCCGATGTGGGATTCGATCCTGGGTCTCCAGGATCGCGCCCTGGGCCAAAGGCAGGTGCCAAACCACTGCGCCACCCAGGGATCCCTTAAGATTTATTTTTTAAAAAAAGATTTATTTATTTGAGAGAGCGCAAGAGAGAGCACTGTATATTAGTGGGGGAAGGGACAGAGGAGAGGGAGAGAGAATCCTACACAACCTTCATGCTGGGAGGCTTGATCCTGATGCAGGGCTTGATATCACATCCTTGAGATGACGATTTGAGCTGAAATCAAAAGTTGAATGCTTGACCGACAGAGCCATGCAGGCACCCCTGGATCATATACTATTTCTATTTTTAATTTTTTGAGGAACCTCCATGCTTTTTTCCACAGTGGCTGTACCAATTTACATTCCCACCAACAGTGTGCCAGTGCTCCTTTTTCTCCACATCCTTGCCAACATTTGTTATTTCTTGTCTTTTTGACTCTAGCTCTTGTGATGGGTATAAGGTAGTATCTCACTGATTTACATATTCCTGATGATTACTAGTGTTGAGACTCTTCATGTGTGTTTTGGCCATCTGGATGTCTTCTTTATAAAAATATCTATTCAGGTCCTCTGCCCATTTTTAATTGGATTATTTTTGTGTGTGTTGAGTTGTGTAAGTTCCTCATATATTTTGAATATTAATCCCTTGTCAAATATATCTTTTGCAAATATCTTCTCCCATTCAGTAGGTTACCTTTTTGTTTTGTTGATGGTTTCCTTTGTTGTGCAAAAGCTTTGTAGTTTGGCATAGTCCCAATAGTTTATTTTTGCTTTTGTTTCTTGTCTTTGGAGACATATCCAGAAAAATGTTTCTTTGGCTGATGTCAGCTGCCTAT